TGCGGGGTTTGTTTGCTTTTTGGGTTTTTTCCCCCATTGGTCTTGCAGGGTTTGCTTGCTCTTTGCTTTGGTTTTTTTGCATTTCTGAAGGGTCTTGCACAGTTTGTTTGCTTTTCTTGCCCCCCCCCCCGCCCTTGGCCGGAATGAATTAATCACATTTCTGATGGGTCTTGCAGTGGTGTGGGTTTTTTGGTGATTTTTTGGTGTTTTTTTTCCTTTGGATGGAATGGATTAATTACATTTCAGTGCATTCCTATGGGAAATGGTGCTTCGACTTACAACCATTTCAAGTTACTAATGGAGTTCCAGAACCAATTAAGTTTGTAAGTTGAGGCACCACTGTACTGTAAAGCTTTTAATATTTCTTTACTTATTGAAAGTATTTTGTTGCTGGCTTTTGTTTGTTTCTGAGGTATGTGGTGGCCCTGTGAGCTAAACCGCAGAAGCCTGTGTGCTGCAGGGTCAGAAGACCAAGCAGTCGTAAGATTGAATCCACGCGACGGAGTAAGCACCCGTCACTTGTCCCAGCTCTCGCCAACTTAGCGGTTCGAAAGCATGCAAATGCAAGTAGATAAATAGGGACCACTTTGGTAGGAAGGTAACAGCATTCTGTGTCTAAGTTGCACTGGCCATGTGACCACGGAAGATTGTCTTCGGACAAACACTGGCTCTATGGCTTGGAAACGGGGATGAGCACCGCCCCCTAGAGTCGAACACGACTGGACAAAAATTGTCAAGGGGAACCTTTTTAAGCCACCTTTTGGAGGAGGAGTCGTAGTGGAGGACAAGAAAGTGACAGAGGAACTACTGCCATTGCTGCCACCACCTCCTCCTTCCTTTCTTTATCCTTCCTACTTTGGGAATGTAAGTTTTTCCTAAATCAAGGCACAGCAACAGCTACAGATGCACTGTTTCTTCTTTCACCTTCATCAAGCAGAAGCCAGTTGCCCCAGATGTTCCACTTCCCTGAGGAAGAGAAAAAGAACAGGCAGGCTAGAAGGGGTTGAAGTGATAGAAATCACATGCTTGAATCCACACAGATCCCTCCCTGTCTGCTTTGTTGTGCATCCTCAGCACTTATTGATTGGGGGAGGGGAAATACCAGCAAATGCCCTCCCTGATCAGCTGTCCATAATATACTGTAAGGACACTGGCAGAAAGAATTTGCAAGTGGTGTACAGGAAGGATCTGAGCTGGTACATGTTTTAAGAAGAAATACCTTCTCTACAGTCAGATAAGTTCATCTGAGGAGATGGAACCAGGTTGATCATTGACCAGTTCTGGGCCTGCAGAGCTACAGAGGACAGGAATGACGTCAAGTGCAGAGCAAATAAAAGGTTGCTCTGACCTGCACTGTGGCAACTGGCAGCTGGAGGCTGCCTAAACAAGGCCATTCTATGGGACCCTCCCCACCCCCAAATGAGTCATAACTCAGCAAATAAGAGGACTGCTGTCTTGGAACATATGGGCAGGCTTGCCTAGCTTGTTACTGTTAATTTGCTGTCACACAACTTTCCCTCCAAACAAATTCAGAATGCTTAATTTTGCTATTTCAATATCATTGCCATTTTCATCTCTCTCTCTCTCTCTCTCTCTCTCTCTCTCTCTCTCTCTCTGTTTCTGGATCCAGAGCATCAAATGTACCTTTTTTGCTTCTCTCTGAGGTTGGAGGTCCAACCAAGTGGTGGTGGGGCAGTACTCCCATACTGTGGCCCGAGCTTTGTCAAAGACCTGAAGAAGGAGGTCCTCTCTTTGATGTCAACCCTTGGTATGTTTCTGGGACCATATAGGTTTGCAACTTTAAGTTAACAATTTAGTGTTACTTGATAAGAAATAAGCAAAGATTTAGTGCATTATTTAGTACATTTTGAAATTTATCTTATAGGAAGTGTATTGAGCATCTTCCTCCCCAAAAAAAGAACAGGTCAATACACACAAAACACTGTCTTATTCTACCTCATCACAAACCCTGAACTGGCTCCCAGTTTGAAGTGGACCATTGCAAAATGTCCTTTGGTATATCTTCTTGTCTGTCAGCATCCTTGCAGTTTCAGTCCAATTCTGAAAGAAAGAAAGAAAAAGAAATTGTCAGTCTGGCCAGGACAACATATATGACTTATTCAAGAATTTATTCATTTTGTTGAGGAACTTGATATCTTTGGGTGGGCAAGAAACGAGAATCGTTCAACGTCTTTCCTTTCTTCCAAGTCTGAACTGGATCAAATTTTCTGAAATTAAAGGCAAACTCAAATGTTATAGATAGCCCATGATTAGAGCTCAGAGCATGTTATCGTGACTGAGGCCATCTTTCCAGTTGAGAAATTAGACTTCAAAGGGATCTCATGCTTAAGTCCTGGAGACCAGGCAAGCTAATTTGCAAATTTCCTTCTATGAAGTAGAAACTTTCAACAGTTAAGGGTTTCCCTTTTCTAATCGCTACCTATGTATGACGTGTGCCTTAAGTGCCAAAACATTGTTGGCTGGCAAACCAAGAAAGCCATGCTTAGGGATTTGTAGCACCCAGTTGCCCATTTACTTTGCTTGTACAATTGTCATATCCATGATTCTGAGAGTTTAATCCAAACCGTCTGCCCAGAACCTGAGCATCCTGGTGAAACTGTCCTAATGGCTCCTGCATTCATACAGTTCCTATAGCAGAGGGGAGAAGGGGCTGTTATTCCTCAGGCAAACACACTGCTGCCAACAACCTGTCACTGAACAGAACAGGCTCAGGTGCCGATGTCTCCCTCCTTTACTTTTTCCCTTCAAAGCAGCATCTGCTGCAGACCACCCACATTACAGAGCTTGAAAAGGGAAGGCTCTCAGATGTTTGCAATCCAGGGAAAGATGATACCGTTTTGCCTAGCTATGAGGTGCAATGGCAGAATTAGGCTAAAGTGACAGGGCGGCCTGCTTCAGGTACAATGTGCTTATGGAGGCAATCTGGACTTCAAAAACTATGTAATATCAAATAGAGAGGGGGGTAATAGGGGAGGGAGAGGGGGGGAGGGAGAGATAGTTTAACCTTGAAGATGTGTGATTTAATGGATGAGGATGGTTCCTCCACCAAGGCACATATCACAAGTATTCCAATATACCAGAGCACAGGTTGCTGTCCTCTGAAGATGCCAGCCACAGAGACTGGTGAAACGTCAGGAAGAACAACCTTCAGAACACGGCCAAGAAGCCTGAAAAACCCACAACAACTATTCCAATATAGTTCAGTGGCCAAGCTGCCATCTGTTGACCATCCTCCTGATGACCAGCCCTTCGTTTTTAGCTAGGTTGGTCCTCAGATGGCAGACTTGACGTCTGTCTTTGAGGTTGGACTTTTAAATCTTATTAGCCTAGTAGTCAAACCTGCCCTAGCTTATATTCCACTACTCAGCTTTTGATGAGGCAGCAGAGCTGAACCTTGTGACCCCCTGCACATGTGCATGCACTTGTATGTGTATACACTTACATGCTCAGCCAGTGAGCCAGAAAAGGGCTGCTGGTGGGGTGGAGTTTTTCTATACTTGCCCTCCGTGCAGTGAACTACCGTGTTTCCCTGAAAATAAGACAGGGGGTTATATTAATTTTGCTCCAAAAATGCATTAGGAGATATTTTCAGGGGATGCTTTATTTTTTTCATGTACAACAATCTACGTTTATTCAAATACAGCCATGTCATCTTCTTCTGGTTGCTGCATAATGGTGGAGGGTGGAATTTCACTTAACTGGGACTTATTTTGGGGGTAGGACTTATATTAGGAGCATCCTGAAAAATCATACTAGGGCTTATTTTCAGGTTAGGGCTTATTTTTAGGGAAAGAGGGTAGTCCAGGCAGCAGAAGATGCAGCATTTTATCATACCTATGTTACACTTTCTGCTGAGGGAATAACAAGAGCATTATTTTCTCTGCTTCCTTTACGGATGGGTATGGGAATTAGTGTGGGATTTTTTTTTTCAGCAGCAGCCAGTGAGAGACAGGAGGGCATTTCCCACTGAGGTTCCTGGAACATCTGGTGAGGACTCCTGTAGGCAAAGATTCTCTGCACATTGATTAGGGCCCCTCTTGTTTCCAACACTTTCCACTCTTACCAGGTGTGACTCGGTCTTTGTTGTGTTTTTCCGAACTGACAGAGATGCAAGACATAGAGTGAGACCAGAACCAAGCCACAGGCCTTTCGGAGGTAACCTATGGTCACCTGATCTCTCTCACACTCGTATACACCAGGGGTGGGAGAGCAGTAGAATATCTGAGTGTTGCTATTCTTAATGTTCATCCCAATATGTTTGAGGCTGCAGGATTTGCTACTGAATGCTAATAGAATACTGGATATTCTGCACTCACCAAATCCTGGCATGGCTGGGAGTGCCTTGGGGCCATCTAGCTTGCCCAAAGTCACATAGGCTGGTTTTTATCCCAGGAGGTACAGTGAAGGATTTTCCTCTTGACTCCTGGCTCCACAGACAGGTTCTCCAAGTCACTGAGCTACCGAGCAAGTGATAGGAAACAGACCACCTGATTTCTTTTGAGTTTACATGTTTAAACCTAAAGCTATTACTACAGCAGTTATACAGAAACCCGCAAACCTCGGTAGATACTTCCAAAATGACAAAACAAAGTTCTCTCCCATTTGCACCTGTCAAATTCAATGGTTACATTTATTCCCAGTGTGGAGATATATGTGCCTATGTGAGAGACCCTGAGAGATAGGGAAAAAGAAGAGGTGGCACTAACAGGTTTGAATAGAGCTTAAAATCTTTTAAGACTGGAAAATTCAAAACCCGGGCAATATGGATAAACATCCCCATGTTTGTGTTGTTTCTCTCTCTCTCTCTCTCTCTCTCTCTCTCTCTCTCTCTCTCTCTCTCACACACACACACACACACACACACACACACACACACACACACACACACTCAGAAGTTCTGAATTTCAAGTTCTTTTCATCCTGAATATGAAGACTTATGCAAAATGTTGATAAACTCTTTTTTTTCTTTCCAGAAACGAACTAAAAGGAAATTCAACTGTCTGCAATACTTGTTGTAACAGAGATGTCAAGCTCAAGGCAAGAGATGTCACACACAGATGCCCACCGATAGTGCCTGGATGCAGCCCAATATTTCCGGGAAGGACGTTTTGCCCCCTCCATGGAGCCCTGCTGAGCTGCCTTCTTCCTTGTTCACATTATCTGTCAAAGCAAAGAAAGGCAGGGTTATAGCAACCAGCCGCCTATGATCAGAAAAGCCTAAGTTGTGTCAGAACTTCAAAGTCATGAGAGACAGACAAGGCTTCCAAGTGAGTGAAAGGGAAGGGAGGGAGAGAGAGAATAAAGGACTCCCAGGGCCTACGCCTTGACCTTCTGTATCGCTGCCTCTTTGATCTCAGCAGAGGACTCCCCCAGCTTTACAAGGGCAGCTTAACATCAATTGCTTAGGAACCCCCGGGCTTTTTCATGGAAGATCCTGGTCTAAGCTGATGCCCTTGTGTATCAGCTATAATTGACCAGACTGAGGAATTTTTGCATCAGCACGCAGAAGTCTCCCTATGGCATGCACCAATAATCATGCTGCAGCAGCAGCAGCAGCAAATTGTGTTTCGGATGGAAGCAGGTTTTTCGGATCTTTAATGTTTTCACATACAAATGAAGTACTATGCAAACGGCTGTACTTGCACCTATAACTGTTACAAGAAACTGAAGTACACTGATTGTTAAAAACATGTTTGCAAGCATTGACTGTTGCCTTATTTTCTGTCGCATCATTACAGCCAGATACATACCTGATTTTCTTATTTTCTTTTCCCCTCCTCACCCCTTTTCCTTTTGTTTCATGTCTTTTTTAGATTACAGTATAAATCTGAGTGAAGGTTCTATAGGGTTGGTTTGCTCCTTTACTGGTGATCACATGATATAATTGCTGGAGCAAACCAAATTGTCCCCAGAGTGTCCCTACCCACTTTCTAATGTGCTTTTTTGGTGTGGGTAGGATTGCTGTAAGTCCATTTTCAGTTACTGTGGTCTCTGAGATGGACCAAAAGCGAGCTTTCTGGCTGTCAAGGCTCCTTCTGATTGGAATTTCCAGCGTCATAGTTTAATAAGCAAGCCACTTCAGGATACTGGCTGTCGTGGTTTAATAAGCCACTTCAGGATACTGGCAAATTGAAGATTTCCTCTGTTTCTCCGCAGAGGAGCAGGGGAAGTGAAAATTTATTTTAGACTGTAGCAGACCATCACCGAGGTGCTGCATCACTTATTGAAACACTTGAATTTTTCTTTGCTTTCCTTTGTCTTAAAGGACCATTTGAATAACTGTCCGCAGCTGAATCTCATAGCCATCCTGGAAGGGAGTAACATGACAAGCAAAGTTTCTCTCTGTCCCTAATTAAATTGTCTGAGATATTCAAGATGGCAACGCCACTTCTGTTCGGCACAAAATAGACAAAAATAATACACAGAATAATACATATGTTACTTGTTGGTCGGGGCTTTTTATTGCATTTCTTGTTAGCAGTGTTTACGTGTATTTACCCCAAGACTAGCCCAAATTAATTCAACAAAAATGAACTTCCTAGCCAAATATCTGTCAAAATTGCATACCTAAACCAGATTTTGGAGATGTTCCTTTTTTGAGATTACAGATCTCAAAATCCCCCAGCTAGGTGTAATCCAAAAAAGTAACTTTCCTGAATTCTGCCCCCTAACAACAAAAGCCATAATTTAAGAGTTCTTAGAGCCAGAAATGTCCTTTAAATTTAATTAACAAATTTAATTACCAAGTGAGTAAAGATACCTTAGTTTTTGTTTTATCACTTCTGCATCTGTTAGGTTTCCATCAGATCACCAGTTTCCTTCCAGGCTATGAGAACATTCCCAGTCCATCTGTTCTTTATTCACTTCCTTAAAATAAAATTAGAAAAAAAGCACATGGAATTTGGAATTGCTGCCATCTCCGTTTAGTTTGATCTGTGGATAAACTTGAAATCTCAACCTCCTTAATTCATGCCATTATTTTATCTTACAAAAACAAATGGCTTCCCAGCTGACAGACTAAAAAGGAATAAAAGCAGATTCTGTTTTCAGATATGGATCACCAGAGTTCAGTGCAAGATTCTATTTTCAGCTCGAGAGTTTAACCCTTGGAATGTGCACACCAATGATAAAGAAGCATATGCAAAGTGTTTTTCATTATTCATTGTCATCCAAATATGATGCATCTCAGTTCAAATGTTAGGCTTCTAATCCAGGGTTGGTTCTGTCCTTTGGCAGAAGGGAGCAGTGGCCTTAGGCCATAGATTTGGAGAAGCATGCGAGGAGAGGAAATTGTTTATTATTTAAGTAGTTACTGCTATGTTTTATTACCAACAATGGAGGAAAGTGTTGATGGAATTTTTCATCTCATATGCCAGAAGAACTTGGCCGGATTTGAGCATTTTGCATCTTGGTTTGCATGGGTGAAGGGCAGAGTTTTCTGTTCTACCTCAGGCAATAAACTTTGAGCAGGGCCTCCTATGGTTTCAACGCACATCCCTCTGTATGCATTCCAGTAGCCTCATTTTTAGAAAAGGAACCTACGCATAACAGTGAGTATCTTCCTTTCTGTTTATTATCTTCAGGGAGAGGGGGAAAAACAGGAAATATTTGTAGCCTCCTAAGCAAGAACATCAAACAGCAACCTCCACTGCAAACGGCAACGTCCTGGGATGAAGACGTGGCTCCAGTTATGAAAGGTTTGTTTGCTTGGGAGTAACAAGCACACACTCAGATTTCCAGGAAGCAGTTTGGGACAGACGCCACAGACACTGGTTTCCCTTGTTACTCGTGAAAACATCGCAAACAGCTGGACCAGAAAGTATTTCCCACTCCGCAGGTGTTGGAACAAAGCTTCTCAATCCTGTTTATAAATGTCAGGGTTGCCCAGCCAAGAAAGACCAAATGGCGTTATGACGTGTTGTGGCTCAGTCTGTCTCAGAAAACCCCAGCACAGGATGCAGAGATACAGTAATAGGAAGAGCTGTTGGTGTTTGGCTTGTCCTGGATATTCTCAGGTCATCTTTCTGTGCTGCATTTCTATTCCCCTCCCCTGTCTTCTCTGTTCACTGAGAGGGGATTTGTTCTGTTTCAAAAAGTACCGCTGAGGAATTCGTCACCAGGCCTTCTTAGAGTTGCACAGCTCTCCATGGCAAGAGTAGAGAATCTCCAGATATTGTCAAGCCAGAAAAGTTACCTTTCTAGACAATAATTTCCCAAATCCCCTAGCCACTGTGGTACCTTGGTCAGCAGATATATATATTTAAAATTCTTACACGGGTCACTCCATCATAGAGAGAGAATGCAATCTGTGAGGCCCTAATGTTGTATAATAAACCACTTCTCAGCTTGCCTTTGAATAAAAATCATGTCTTCTACAAAGGGGTGGTGAAAGTGGCTGGAACAACATGCCAGCTAGAGAGATGTAGTCTTTGTCACCACTCATCAGAGGACCTGAGAAGAGGATTCAAATCAGGATTGGTGGTGGTGCTAGGGAGAGAGCTGATCTAGATATTTGCTTTTAAAATCATTGTATACTTTCCTAAAGAACAGGGCTGAACATATATAGACCTGAACCTTGGGGAGACCTACAATATGTTTTCTAAATAAAGGCGTGCTCACTCGCTGTTTTGCACAGTGATAGAGAGAAAGAGACAGAAACAGAGAGACATTTTAAAGCACAAAAAATCTCTCTCTCTCTCTCTCTCTCTCTCTCTCTCTCTCTCTCTCACACACACACACACACACACACACACACACACACACACACACGTGTCAAATCATGTTCTTTAGATTTTAAAAAAAGGTTTGGTAATCTTAGATTAGGAATGGGTGCTCTGTCCACTGTCACTGAAATTGTGCTGGAATCAGGAAAATCTCCAATTTCTAACAAGTATTTCACTTGTTTTAATTCGTGTTCTTTAGATTTTAAAAAAAGGTTTGGTAATCTTAGATTAGGAATGGGTGCTCTGTCCACTGTCACTGAAATTGTGCTGGAATCAGGAAAATCTCCAATTTCTAACAAGTATTTCACTTGTTTTAATGGTGCTACAATTGTTTGCTGCCAAATTTGTTGGTGCCCCACTACATGCATACTGCTGCAAACACACAGGAGGAAATGGCTACACACTTGCTTTGAAAGGGGCCAGTGGGTGGGTGGGCTGCTTGATGCTGAACCTGAATGAAATGGTTTTTAGTAGACCTTCTGGAGTCTGGACCTCCTTCTCTACCTCTTCTCACCTAGCATAAGAGCTCACCTGGCCAGGAAGAGGTCTGTTTATGTGTTGTGCTTGCACAATGTCCATACACCAGCGTTCCAGGGGTGAGGGGTGGAGATTGATCAAAGAGCCAGTGGGTTCAGGCACATGGTCCTGTTTTGCCATCTGGAGCATGAGAGGTTATGGAGCCCCAACATCGCAGCTTCTTATTGTCTAAGCCCTAGCTGTTGTAGCAGTATAGGGCTTGTCGGTGGGAGGGACCCTGTTGTTGGAGAGCCCCAAGCCCAGATAAGGCTCTAACACAATTCTCTATACAGCATATGGGCTGCATGGGATGTGAGCCTTGGCAGCCTATAAGCTGCAAAGCACATTTCGCCACTTCTACTGAAAAAAAGAATAGAAAAGAAAGGGTCCCCCTCTCCCCTGGATCTGTATTATGTGGTTAGTGGAGTTTACCCAGAATCCCCTATCATGGTCGCTAAGGAATTCTGGATGTGTGTGGCTTCTGCGGTCAGAAATGGGGTAATCTGCACCTTTGGGTGGCCAGAGGAGGAAACCTGTCCCCGCCACTGAACCGCTTTCTGATATCCTTCATTCTGAAAGTCTGCCTCCTTACTGACAACTACAGGACAGACGTTTTGGCAGCCACTGAGTTGTTTGCCTCACTTCCTGATTCATGTTTAGACTATTTCCTTTCCCTCTTGACTTACGTGTTTTCCCTTGCTTGTAGCTGAGGACTGACTGTATGTTCCTCTTGTTCCTTTTAGAGTAAAATGGCCCAAAAGGCCTTTAAATGTTAAACCACGCCGGGAACAAAGCGTTCATTGCGTTCATTTGTTACCATGAAACATCTGCCCAATAGCACGTGCTCTCTCTCTCTCTCTCTCTCCCCAATAATACAAAGCAGCAGAACAGAAGGTTAAAACTCTTGCCTACCTAATATTTGTCTGTTTCTATCAGTTCCCACGTAGATATTGACTGCTCTTCCATATGTCCTTTAGAAACACATACACAGACCTGTCTCCTCTGCTCCACAGACTTCACACATAATGCAACTAGAGATGGGCACAAACCGGAAAAATGATGAGTCAGGCTGGTTTGGGGCTAACCATGAACTGCCACAAACTACCCCCCCCAAAAAAAACTAGTTAGCAATTCGTTTTTGTGGTTTGTGCCTGGGGGGGAACCTACCTGTTCTTGCCCTATGCCACCCACCTGCCCCCTTCCCATTGCCCCCTTTGCCTCCCTACATGGTCCTACCACTGCCACTATCCTCCAAGGCAACAGGCCCAGGCCTCCCTTCCCAGAGCCCGGGAGGCCTCCTGCTTTTGCCCATGTGTCCACTGCCCAGCTGATCGACAAGCTCCCGAACAGAAGCAGCAGGCCTGGCTCCGGGTAGGGGGGCTGGGCCTACTGCCTCTGAGGATGGTGGTGGAGAAAGAGGAGGTGGTGGAAGCAGGACCAGGTAGGAGGGCGACAGGGGCAGTGGGAAGGGAAGATCTCTAAACGGGTACACAAAATGAACCACAAATCAGCCCAATTCGTTAATTTTTCTGGTTCATGGTCTGGTTCATGCCCATCTCTAGGTGCAACCAATGTAGTGGATGCAGGTATCTCTTCCATCAGAATTACAAGCACTGCATAGGGAACTTTAAAATAGTTGCTTCATTTTAACTAGGCTCAGAACGTATTTTGCCTGTTTCTTAAATGGCCACTCATCTAGGCAGTCTGAGTATTGCGTGTCACTGACACTTATAGTGATTATGCATCTTCTGTTGTCTTTGCTGACATGTTCAGGTTTCTCGCGCTCCTTCTCAAATTCTAAGAAGTTATGATGACCTGAAGTAGAGTTGGCAACTTTGCAGCCCAGCATTTTTTTTGAGTGCGTGTCTCCCACCAATGTCAGCATGACTAGGACTGATGTGAGTTGCAGTCCAGCAGTATCTGGGAAGGGCTACAAGATGCTCACTACTAGTAAAGTGTTCAGTTAAGGCAGGAGAAAGATGAGTTCAGATCCTCATTCAGCCAGGACGCATTGGGTGAGCGTGGGCTTGCCACGACCAATTAGCACAGGTAACATCAGTGCTGTATGTAACAACCTGAAGTAGAGTTGGCCACTTTGCAGCCCAGCATTTTTTTGAGTGTGTGTCTCCCACCAATGTCAGCATGGACTAGGACTGATGTGAGTTGCAGTCCAGCAATATCTGGGAAGGGCTACAAGATGCTCACTACTAGTACAGTGTTCAGTTAAGGCAGGAGAAAGATGAGTTCAGATCCTCATTCAGCCAGGACGCATTGGGTGAGCGTGGGCTTGCCACGACCAATTAGCCATTCTCACAGGTTTGTCGTTAGGGTAAAATGAGGAGAAAAGAACATGTGTTATCTTGAGCTCTTAGGAGGAAAGAGCTATAGGTCTTGAGTGTTCTCGGGTAGAAAGAGTAAACATCTCTTGGACTGATCCTGAGGTAATACGACAGATGAACTATGGCATTCAAAATGTAGGTTGCAGGTAGCTTTCTCTGAAGAAGTAATATAGCAGAGAGTGAGACAGCAGACTACACAGTTCCTTGGCATGTTAATTACTGGCAAACAGGCTTATAGAAATATGAGGAAATATTGAAAACACACACACACACACAAGAATGTCCTCTTTTTGTTTGTTTGTTTGGACTCCAACTCCCAGAATTCTATAATCACTCCTCTGGCAGAATTCTGGGGATTCTAGGTAACAGACCCACACCTGCAGATACATTCCTTTCATTCACTTGGAAAAAGGACTAGTCCACAGGCTACACTGGATTCTAGCCCTTCATTTCCTGCCACAATGCTTTCTGGGAGAAATCTGCTACAGTGCTTCCTGGGTGTGGTAATTTTTGCAGAGGCATTTTCTATGGAGCCTAAAGAGCAGCAACGCTGCCACACTCAAGAAGCTTTGCAGAAGGTTCATCCCAGGAAGCATCACGGCAGGAAATGAAGGCCTTGAATCTGATGGTGGCTTGGAGCACTAGGCCTTTTTCCAGTTGAGTGAAATGAAGGCATCTGGAGGTGTGGGTCTGTGGACTGGAACACTCAGAATTCTACCTGAGGAATTCTGGGATACGCCTGGGAGCAGGGAGTCTAAAACAATGAATGTCTCCCCTTTGGTTTTTAATCCAAAGCAACAGAGTCCATTCTACCTCTTCATAACTTCCCATCTTGTCCCGCCTCTGCTGGCTATGTGTGCCAATCAGAGCTTAGGGTGTACATTTGAAAACCACAACATCTGAAATTCCCCAAGTCGCACGGGCAATGACCCTGTAGACAAATATGAAGCCCGCCAGCTCAGGTGGCCAGCCCCAATTACCTCCTGCCCCCAGAACTCACCTGTCCACTTATAGCACCGTGTGGCCAGGGTCATCTTCAGCATGCCATTCATGGGTGCTGCAGCCCTGTCTCTGAGCTCACCCAGCCAATCTGTGGCTGAGCGGGGAGATTCGTCCTCCCAACTCCTTTCATGAATGGCCAGGCAGGGAGGGCTGCGCAACTGGCACACAAATAGCGAAACTGACCCCATGTGCCGCACACCATACTGTAAGAGGACTGGTGGATTCTGGGGGCGGGAGGTAATCGGGCCAGCCACCTGTGCTGACAGGCTTTTTATTAATCATCAAACCCTGATGGCTGAAGATTCTGAGAGTCGTTTTTAAATAAAAAAGAATTTTTCCGTACCTCTATTGTCAATCCAGTAATCACATATAGGGAGTATCATAAAGCACAGAACTCTTCTGGTTTCAGATTAGAGGATAATGCCCCACACAACAGTGGTGATGGACCACCATCGGATATTAATGCTCTCCAAAAGTCAAAAGGCAGTTTCATACATTTCTCCCCTTGAGGCATAACAACTTAAGTGCCATAATTTATCACCGTGGCTGAGTGGGGTAAGAGGGGTAAGAGCTTCTGGCAAATTACATTCTGGCAATATGAACTGAAAGCTCTAGCTGCATTGCAAACTGTTCTGGATTTGGTTTTGGCTTTATGGCTGACTCACCTTGCATTGTGAAATGTTCTAAGCCTGAGGCACTGACAAGTAAGTTTTCTTTCTTCTGCCAGAAGAGAGCACTGGTGGGCAATCACCCAAGTTTCCTTGATATGTGGGGGTGTATGTTTTCAAAGGGTTGGGTATCATAAAGAAGCAAGTAAGCAAGCAAGCAAGCAAACTGAAACCGTCACCGGCATTATTTCCACAGGGCAGATCACAGCATTGCTAAGAGGCAAGAAGGCGAAGGGGAAGGGAAGTACATGTCTTGACTTCAGTCTCCTGAATCCTTCAACTAGCATTGAGTTGCAGGGGGTGGAGGATAGTCTGGCGAGCACAGTGCAGAAAACTAAATTTTCTGAGTTGAGCTGAAACTCACCTTACCGCAGAATGTATGCACAGGCTTCCTCTCCTTGAAATGTATGAGGCCGCCCGCTATATGTAGGTGAGGGAGACTTCTGTGGCAAAGAAGCCCCAGTCAGCATGAGTGGCATGGCATGGGTTGGTTTGTGCAGAATTACAGCCTCATTTCCCAAAAGATCTTCCCCTTTGCGCATGGGTGCCCAAGCTCCATTTCCCACGTTGAAAGGAACTGACAGGTTTTAGAGTGAGGCTGGCATTTACTTGTTTTCCATTCGGATAAATGCAAAGGGAAATGTGGCTGCCCTGCTTTACAAGCAGACAGGAGTGCAGGAAGAAATAAGCCTTATTCCAGTCCAGGACGGAACACCTTCACGGGCGGCAGCATCTCTCCCCAGAGTCTTCAAAAGGAAACTTCACGGACTGTACCAGGGAGCTTCTGCAGACACAGCATCAGTTCTACCAGTGGGTTGCAGTCCACTCCTAAGTTGATGCAGCAAATACCCACACTTATAACTTAATGCAGCTTACCCACTGCCCATCTGCTTGGTTCACATACCAGGGAGTTTCCCAGTGACGGAAGGGGGAAAACAAGCCCTTATGTACACTTTGTGTTCTGTTCAGTTTTCTTTTGCACTTCCCCTACTCCTTTTCCCCTTGAGTTTTCCCAGCACACACTGCGGCAGACAAACAAAGGCTGTGGTCACACTGACCATTTGAACAGATTCTGCTCAGACTTAAAAAAAAAAACAGGTAGGCAGACAAACAAAGGCTGTGGTCGCACTGACCATTTGAATAGATTCTGCTCAGACTTAAAAAAAAAAAAAAACCAGGTTCAAGTCACGTGGTATTTAAACCGATGGCCTGAATAGAAACCGATTTATTTCTCGTGCTTTAAACTGGTTTTGGTGTCTACATGGCTGAAATCAACTCATTTGAATCAGTTTTAGAAGTGGAGTATTTTTAAAAGCCCCTGCCAGCCAGCTGAAAAAACAAACCCTCACTTTCCAGTGATAAAACTATTTTAAACTTGAGTCGTGTGAAAGATAAAATATACAGTGGACCCTCAACTTACAGACGACTCGACTTAAAGACTTTTCGAGTTACAGACTTCTCTGGCTGCAACATTTAGATTCGACTTGCAGCCAGAGAATCGACTTACAGACCAGAAAAAAACCAAAATGGAATAAAAATAGAATAAAAACCACTGGTTATGGGATTAATTGGTTTTCAGTGCATTGTAGGTCAATGGAGATTCGACTTACAGACTTTTCGACTTGCAGCCACCATTCCAATACAGATTAATTCCTTAAGTAGAGGGTCCACTGTAAATTGATTTGCATGACGCGTAAATGTGGTTCTTACTGCCAATGTGACCACAGACAGAGTTTTGGAAATTATAACTTTTTTTTTCCTGATGACAGGTGTCAATGAGGTGAGGTAAACTGAACTCTGATATCATCACGTTCAATGTTAAATAAGAGATTTTCTTCCTGCGCAATTGTAATGGTTATGAATCAAACTTCTACTATTTTCTCACACTTGCTTGTTTGCTGGGTGCTCCCCTCCAGACTCCTTCAGTTGCCTTCTCTGCCCCACTTCCTTGCCTTAGGTTACTTGCAGCACCTTCCCTACTGATTTCCCTTCCCTTCCCTTCTTCCCACCTCCCCTCTCTTGCTGTCACACGTGTCGTGATAGAAATGCTCCAGTCACAGCGGCTGTAAAAGTGAATTTTAAACACACTGGTGTGCTTAGTGGAGTGCTTGCAAAAGTGGGAGGTTGCAAAGTGAGCTTGGGAAGTCAAGGAGCCTCTGCACACATCTCAGCTGTGTACTGTATGTAAAGCTAAAGGCCAGCCTTATCATCAGAGAGGGAGATGATGGATCATCCCCTTCTCAGCTCACCTCAGGTTGCTTCACCCATCTGCCAGCTGAGATCAACTCTTCTGTGTTCATCTGAGGTGGCCCCTAATCTACAAAACCTGTATCACAATAAACGTAGCAGGTTTAATGCACCACAAGACTTGTTGTTTTCTTCTGCACTGACTGGCTGAATAGCTCATTGGGTTGGGAACCAGATTTCAAAGCCAGAGATTGATAGTTCAGATTCCTCCCCACTGTGCCTCCTGGGAGAAGAGCCAGCCTGTGTAGCCTTGGGCAAGCTGCAGAGTCCTAGACTGCCACCGAACAGGGGGATGATAAGCTACTTCTGAGTACTCTTCACTTACAAAATTGTGAAAAGCCAGAAATGACTTGATGGCATACAATTATTAGAGCGACACTCTCACTTTGTGGATTGCGGTTTGCAAATTGTCTGTAATTTAATGCATTCTTTTTTTATTACAATGAAACTATTGCTAGGATTTATTTAAATCTCAAACACAAATCTGCCAGCTCTGAAAGTGGTTTTATTTTTCCCACACCAATTCAGGGATTAATAACATTTCATTAAAACTGAGGTCCTTTGCATGGTGATAACGTTACTATTTTGAGCAAAAAATCCTTGGAAACTTCAGTTAAGTTCTCTCCAAGAAAATCTGGATTCTTGACTATTTCTTATAGACTTAGCACATTAAACATAATGCTGTCTCAGATTTTATTGGAAGATGAATGAGGATTTTTTTTAAAAAAAGACATCAGCAAAATGAACAGATGTTTCCAACATGTTAGGCCTAAAACACATGCTTTCACTTTACATCAGAGGTTTAACTACCAGGCCATTGTTTCAGCACTATTTTTACACTGCTCTGAATATATTTTGTGAACTGAGTATATCTGAATGTTGTTTCTTCTTTTGCAAAACTTCATCTGTTCTTATTCAGTGAGAAAGCTTAAATGAAATGAAAGTTCACTTTGCAAATGGGTTCAACCATAATATGTAACATTGTGGCTTTCTGGTTATGACAAATCATACATGTGCGCACGTGCATGCATGCGCGCATACGCATGTGTGCGCACACACACACACACACACCGCGCACGTGCATGCACACGCGCATACGCGTGCGCGCGTGTGCGCGCACACACACACACACACACAAATGTAGACGAGACAGGGCAAACTTTTTTAAAAAAATCTTTCACCTTTCAGCATTTTCCCAGCCATTGCTCATGCTGGCTAGCAAACATTTTTAGGAGTTGAAGTTGAATTTTTTAAAAAAACACCTTTCTTAATTTCTGAAACAAAAGGCCCATTAGTTATATCTGTAGCAAGACAGAAGGGAGTGTCAGACCACAAACAGAATGATGGTTGTGTGGAACTTTTCTGCTCTTAATATGCAACCAAATAAGAACTCAACACAGAAGTAGTGTAGAGCACCCCCTTGGCATTAATGGTGAGGCACGCTTGTGTTTGCGCATTGATTAAAAGTGTCACAGCATGATCAATAGGAGGCAGAAAGTAATCAAGATTGTCCAAAGATCTGTGCAGACACCTGCCCACAATCGAGATGTCCTTCCCTGAAGAGCAGTCCTTGAAGTTCAGTCCTGTCAATCACATCAGATGGCACTTTTAACCTATGTTCAAAACTCTGTACTTTGCTGGCTGCGAGAGAAGAAAAGAACTCCACAGATACAGTAAAAGGGAAGAGGAGAGTAACATGCAAACGGAGGTTTGTTACTTCCGTTGTTTGGTGGTGGTGGTTGTTTTGAAAGAAAACACTAGGTTGTCTTTCTTCAACTGGACATTGTAGGACTATAGCTCCCAAAATCTTAACCAGCATAACCAACAGCCATGGCGATGGCAGACATGGTAGTCCATCACTTTGAAAAGACACTGTGTTTGGGAAGATTGCACCAGACGGACAATACCCAGAACTCTCCTTGATAGGGATTTCCGGGCTGTGGCATTTGAAAAAATGTTCTGTTTTGTCCTAATTGATTTAATTTATTATAATGTTTAGGTTGCCCAGAACTTGGAAAATTGTGGTGATGGGGGCCACTGCAAATCCCAGAGTTCACCCCCATGAGGATCTATCTAATATGTACAAAATATATACACACATGTATATGTATATATAAAGTCTTGTAACAGTGAGTAACAAATAGAAGTACTGTATATAAGTAAAATGTTTTGGCTTCTGCTTCTTCAGTTGCCCTGGGAAAAATACGTCTGTGTACAAGGAAATTATATTGGTGCTTCCTGGAAGGTGTAGTTCTTTGGGAGTTCTTTATAGCAGTGGTCCCCAACCTTGGGCCTCCAGATGTTCTTGGACTACAACTCCCAGAAGCCTTCACTACACCTCTGCTGGCCAGGATTTCTGGGAATTGAAGTCCAAGAACATCTGGAGGCCCAAGGTTGGAGACCACTGCTTTATAGAGTCTAATGGGCAGTGAGACTGCAGCTTCCAAAAACCTATGACTCCCAGGAATCATTATGGCAGCTTCCTTGTTTTTGAAAATAGAGACAGGCCCCAAAATGCACTAATAGAGATAAATGCAAATGGTGTTTAGAACTGTGCTTCTGGGTAGCACCTCCCAGAATTCTGAAGGCATGTTTTTTGAGAATTCTGAGAGTTGCAGTCAAAGGCATCTGAATATTCAATATAATGCTTTCTCTCTTTTTTCAGAATAAGTCTGTGAGGTGGGGGGGCAGAACAGGCAGTATACATGTGGCATACATTTGTGGATATTACAGATGGGGGTATTTGTATTCATATACGAATACGAATATCCCCGTGCAACTGGAGTTAACGAGGGTCTGACCCCTGGAGCCGGACCGGCCACTCACACTTCTGGTGGTGGCAGTGGCCTCACTCATCCTTCCAGTAGCTCCCGGAGCCCTGCTCTCTTCCTGCTCAGCTGGCCATTTGGCAGCTGTTCAGGGAGTCTCATCCTCTCTCCGCTTGCCTGGAGTGGCCAGCCAAGCGGGAAGAGATCGGCACTATGGGAGTAATTGGAAGGATGGGCGAGGCCACCACTGCCACTTGAAGCATGAGTGGACGGTCCAGCCCCAGGAGGTGGACCCTCATTAACGCCCACTGTGCAGGGATATTCATATTTGTATACAAATACCCCCATCTCTAGTGGTGATCCATCTCTGCCATTTCACTTATGGTGCTTAATAATGAAAACATTTGTACGTACATGACCTTACTGGTGGATAAAGTGTGGACTAGACTTAAGTCTGGAACAGCAACAATTAGTGAATTCTAGTACAAATAGATGAAAATCTAGAAATGTATTCACAAAAGGAAATGAAGGTGGCATTTCAATTTATACTAAATTAAAGATGTGTCTGGGTCTCTCTCTTTCTTCCTTACTCTCCCTCCCTCCCATTCCCCCATCCTCCCTGTAGCTAAGAAACCAAACATCTTGTTTCCACAAAAGGGGGGGGGGAGGGACTAACCATAATCATTGCTGAATTGCTTCAAAAATACAAATGTCAAGTTTTGCTAGCTGAATTTAATCAAATGTTTTGATGGCTCAAAACCCGGAAAGTACGTAAGATTACTTTTTTCCTTCTTTCTCAAGGAATAAGCTACAGTTTTAAACCCACTATCATGATCATTTGCTTCAGGTGTTGACGCTGATAAAACATTGTTTTCGA